GCGAAATATAGGACTTCGTAAAATTGTTTTCGGAGGAGCAATTAAAATCCAGAAACGTTATCTTAAAGAAGAGATTTCAAGCTTTAATTTAAAAAAACAGTCATCACTTTACAATGATTTTCCACGGAGTTATCGTTAATGAAAGTTGGGCAATTTTTATCAAAAATTTTTCTACGCTATGATTTTCTTCACCAGTGTACAATCTGATTACTATACTGCGCATTTTATGCAGTTGCTAAAAGAATAAATAGATCAAATGTAAAACAGCAAAAGCATTTAAACGATTTAAAAATACTATTGCACAATGGTCAACTCATTGAAATGATTAAGAGAAGAAATAAGTATCTGCATAGTTCCTGCAACTTGCAATTCACGATTGCTTCGATTTGATGAAATAGAAACTAACTAGCAAATAGTGCTCACTTAGATGCAAAAAGATTGCTTCGTTAGATGCGCTTAGAATGATAAAGTCCCGTCAGTTTTTTTCCACAGTGCAGACAGTCGACGGTAGATCCACCGATCGCCGGAAGTGCTGACAAGATGCAACGATCATGATCAGCGGCATGAGCGAGTTTCAAGTAACGGATCCGCCATCGATACAAATTCCCCGAGCATCTATCTTCTATTTACGCTTTTCTACGACGAGTTCCGCTCCGAGACGCAGGAGATTAATTAAGGAGTCTGCACACCGATCGATCCCGAACAGTCCCGAGGCGAGTCTCCGGTCGTAACTCACGCCAGCGCCGCAAAAAGCCGAATTAATTAGCATCGGCGCGTATTACCCGCGATTCGTTCTACGACCGGGCTTCAATAACCATTCGCCGTCTCGCCTCGCGAATATTCGCCAACGTTTTTCCCGCGGTGCTTGTAATTTATTGCAAAAATCGCGGCGACGTCCTCGGTTACGACAACGCGCGCCGCGCGGTCAACGCGCCCTCAATGAAACCCCATTAACGGCTAATTGGACACGCAGCTCGTTTATTTACCAACCAGGGAATACCGCGTTCACAAAGGTATTTATTCCGTCTGCGACCGCGTTCGGACGCACTTAAGCGTAATCGTTGCTCTCGGCTTTAAATGCCCGATTCTTTTAAATGCGACCGTGATGGTGCCATTAAAGAGCCGCGCTAGTTCCGATTACGGTCAACAAAAATGCTGAATTTAGCGAGGGGATCGACCACAATTGAAATCTCGTCGACGCGAACGGCGAATTCATTCGGCGGAGTTGCGCGACGGAGTGCATTTGGACTACGAAACTGGCCAGAGTTTGATTAAACAAGTTTGATTCATTATTAGACCGTGGAATTTTATGCAAAAGACGAATTGTCTGCGTCAATCGCAGGAAATAGAAGCTAAATGGTACGTTCTTTCGTTCCTTAATATTTCGAATCGATTAACACGTTCCGTGCCGAGCTTATTTTACTCGAATCTTCACACTTTGATATTTTACTAAAACTTGATGTATTACGTGCAATTATTAATTCTCGTACACATAACAACGTAACAAAAACTTATCAACGCCCATTCTTGCGGTCGAAATTGATTCTTCGGTTCTAAATTTCTTGTAAACAATTTGTTCAGTTCACTAAGTAAACATGCAAGCGTGTACCATCGATGGTACACGCTTGCATGTTTAGATGTGTATAAGAGACAGATTACTGTGTGTCAATTCTTGTAAATTGATCTGATTTTTTATAAACATATGTTTCAATACTCCTGTCTCTTATACACATCTAGATGTGTATAAGAGACAGGAGTATTGAAACATATGTTTATAAAAAATCAGATCAATTTACAAGAATTGACACACAGTAATCTGTCTCTTATACACATCTAAACATGCAAGCGTGTACCATCGATGGTACACGCTTGCATGTTTAGATGTGTATAAGAGACAGATTACTGTGTGTCAATTCTTGTAAATTGATCTGATTTTTTATAAACATATGTTTCAATACTCCTGTCTCTTATACACATCTAGATGTGTATAAGAGACAGGAGTATTGAAACATATGTTTATAAAAAATCAGATCAATTTACAAGAATTGACACACAGTAATCTGTCTCTTATACACATCTAGATGTGTATAAGAGACAGGAGTATTGAAACATATGTTTATAAAAAATCAGATCAATTTACAAGAATTGACACACAGTAATCTGTCTCTTATACACATCTAAACATGCAAGCGTGTACCATCGATGGTACACGTGGCACGGAACGTGTTAACAGTGCTTCATTGACGTTTCAAAATTCTTTCAATATTTTCTCTATTTTAAATTGCAATTTTTGAAATATTTTCACTATTTCAAATTGCGATTACTTATTATATTATTTCGCCAGAAATGCTCACAAAATCTATTCATTCTATTAATCATTGAACGCAATATTCTGCTATCGTCTCATTGATTTGATTCACTCGCGAAACGTCACGCTTCGTTGAAAGTCTTCACTATTAGATTATTTAAAAATTAATTTCGCTTTCCCAAATGGATAACTTACCAAAAAATCTGAAATTACTTTTGCAACAACCAAGTAGGTTCCTGAATCGCTGCTCAACGAAGTAAACTCAAACGAACATGTAATATTTACAAAAATATTCATAAATAACTCTGCTTCGAAGTGCTTCTCCGTTCGCGCAGTACCGAATGAAATCATTTCGGCCAGCTCTCGAGACCGAATGCTGCGCGGCGTTCTCCGCAGACCGTCGCTGAATTGTGAGACGAGCCTAAGCTCGCGGATCGACGACAATCAAGCGCGCAGGTAGGAGAACCGATAATTTTGCCGGATCGATTTCGTGCATAAATATAGTCGTGTGCGTCGAACGAGACACGATGGGACCACCATGGGAGAAGGCGCGTGTCGTCCGTCCAATTATGGTTATACCGGCTCCGAAAGGGCGCGTCGATGATCGTAAATGCCGCACGGTTCCCTTCCTATACGGGCCATGGTACATATTATGAATCGAAAGTTGCTGTACGCGAGCGAAGGAGAAAGAAAAGGGTAGAAAGACGGGGAGACGGAGAGTCCGTTCGGATGACTCACCGAGTTAATTAGACTCGTCCGGCAACGGGAAAATTACAATATACGGATAAAAAAAAAAGCAATCTTCGGCGAGCGCTATGATCGATTCCGACGTTCGATCATAGCTGGCAGCGCGATCTCGGTGGACAGAAAAATCGGCATTCCACGGCGAGCACGCGGACTACCAGTTTTCCGGGACACTAATGGCTGGCTCCGAGATATTTATGACACTCCTTTTTCTGGGCCCGGGGTTTGATAAGCGTGTTTTGTGCGGCCATCGAATCCGATAACGTCGCCGTTCATTAACCTGCGAGCATGTTCGGCCGCGTGCGCGAGCCGTGGTTTTCTTTTAACCGGCCGGACAAAGTTTCGAATCGCGATAGATTTGTACCCCGATACCGGCGACAAATCGCTCGATAAATCATGCCCGGACACCACGCTACTCCTTGGCTTCTCGATAATAAATTTCTGCCGATACGATTCAGCCGATTAACGCGGCTTTCTCTCCGATAAAGTCTTCCTCGTTCGACCGTCGCCGTCGGAAGACCGACATTTTTCTGCCACTCCTAGCCATTCTTCACGAGCATCGCCTCGGGAATATGTACTTGGATCGCCTATCCGTGCCGGCGAAATGAGTTTATTCGCGAGATCGATGCGACGGCTTCTCTTGGAAAATACTTCTTTCATATCGTTCGATATGAAAATAATTTCACGCGAGAGATACTTTTCGTCGACATCTGTCCGCGCGGAAACTAATTTTAGAAACGCGATGAAAAAGAGCCAGGTGCGTTCGCGTGGAAAATTATTCGTATCCAAATAGTTTTACAAACGAGATCGGTAAGATGCAAGGTTGATTTACGAAGAAAATGTTCTCCTCTCGAGTTTAAGCCGCGGACATAAAATTCAACTTTTTATTAAGCTAATAGAATGGATTGAATCTCGATAATCGACCGCAGAAAAATAATTTTACGAACGTGACGGATTTGATCGTGATCGACTCGCGCGAAAAATACTTTTCTTGGTTAGTTATCTGTGCAATAATCGTCTCAAAGAATGAGGTAAATAAAATCCAGGTGGATTTACAAAGAAAATGTTCCTTTTCGAATAATTATCCGCAGAAAAGTGATTTTGCAGACGAGACGTACAAGGTCGGGATCGACTTGCGTGAAGAATAAAGTCCAGATAAATTTACAAAGAAAATGTTCATTTCGAATAGTTATCCGCAGAAAAGTGATTTTGCAAACGAGACGAACAAAATCGAGATCGAGTCGCGTGAAGAATACTTTTCTTGGTTAGTAATCCGTGCAATAATCGTCTCAAAGAACGGGGTAAATAAAGTCCAGGTGAATTTACGAAAAAAATGTTCTTTTTCAAATAATTATCCGCAGAAAAGTGATTTTGCAAACGAGACAAACAAGGTCGGGATCGACTCGCGTGAAGAATACTTTTATTGGTCAGTTATCCGTGCAATAATCGTCTCAAATAACGAGGCAAATAAAATCCAGATAAATTTACAAAGAAAATGTTCCTTTTCGAATAATTATCCGCAGAAAAGTGATTTTGCAAACGAGACGAACAAGGTCGGGATCGACTCGCGTGAAGAATACTTTTATTGGTCAGTTATCCGTGCAATAATCGTCTCAAATAACGAGGCAAATAAAATCCAGATAAATTTACAAAGAAAATATTCCTTTTCAAATAATTATCCGCAGAAAAGTGATTTTGCAAACGAGACGAACAAGGTCGGGATCGACTCGCGTGAAGAATACTTTTCTTGGTTAGTTATCCGTGCAATAATCGTCTCAAATAACGAGGCAAATAAAATCCAGATAAATTTACAAAGAAAATATTCCTTTTCAAATAATTATCCGCAGAAAAGTAATTTTGCAAACGAGACGAACTCGGGCAGATGATACCGGTTAGTGGATGCTGTAAAAAAATAATGTTAGAAACGAGATAAATGAGATGGACTCACGTAGAAGGATAGCTCGACGCGGTGCGAGTGCTTCGGCACGCAGGTGAGCGCCTCCGATCTGCAGCATCCGGTGTCGTCCGAGCACCTGTGCAGAATTGCGCAGTGTGGAACGTAGGTGGTCGATGGGCTCGGGTACACCTCGCGAACAGGTATCACCCTGGGCCGTGGCCATTGGCAGCTGCCCTCTCGCGATACCTTGATCGCGTGCTGAAGAGCCTCTCGGATTTCCGCGGCTGAAACAACACGTTCGGTTGTAATCGTCGCACCTCTGAAAACAGGCTCTCGGACGAGCATTGAAACCCACGTACAGCTGAGCCTCGATTATCCTTGGCTGATCAGAGTATCAGGAATCAGAGTTAAAACAATGGAACTGCTTTATAATTACATTGTTATAACGCGTAGACTGCGGATTTTTATGCGAAATAAAGATTGTCTGCACTAATTGCAAGCAGCTACGTAAACATTTACTTCGCTTCTTACTCGTTTTAACGAGTCGGCAATAACGCGACAATATTTCTAAATTCTTTCAATGTTTTTGCTGTATTACAATTGATCCATTTTTCTCATAAACGCATCAAATCCGTAGTCTGATAACGAATACCTGGGTGAACGAAATTTATTCATTTTCTGAAACCGTCGAGCCCTAAATCTGATTCGCGCGTGCCCCTGTAAAACGTTACCATTTTAACTAGCAGCATTTTTATCGTAAAGAATACTTAGGGTTAACAAATTCACTCGATCATTTTCCACGAAAGAGCATCCGTGATCTCGACAACTGCATTGTTTCGTATGAACAATATAAAAAGGCAGAACGTGGAACCGATCGTTTCGGCACGCTCGATGGGCGTGGCGTTAAAAGCGATTTTTAATTACGCCAATCTTCGCTGTGTCGTCGTTCGACCGCGGCCAGTAAAACAGCCAAGCATCCCGAATATCCATCGCGCCACGATCTAGCAAACGCGATCTCGAGTACATAAACCATCGGGGCCGACACTTCCTCATGAATAAAACACTGGGCGACTCGTAAAACAAATACGATAAATCTTCTGCTCCGGTAATCGTAAATACATCGTGCTTTGCGCCGGGGCTGACGGATACCGCGCCGTAATAAAATAATTAGAGGTTGTTCGGGCAATGAGAATGACGAGTGACCGAACGGCGCGAGAGTCGAACGCGAGTCAGTCGACTCGTCTCGGGTTTGACGACAGCCTAATAGCCGTGATCGGACAGTCCGCGGGATAATAAACCGTATAAGGCATTTCCCCGGGGCAAGAATAGTCGGCGGAGGTATCTGGGTCGAAGCGTCGGATCCGCAGGATCCAAGAGAGCCGCGAGATCCTCGAGATCTCTGCTCGGCATTCCGCGACGCGAGATCCGCGGACCCGCGCCGCGGTGACATAAGTCATGCGAGAGAGCTTTCTATTGATTCAGCGCGCAGATACCTAATCGCTTTCTACGCGTTTCACGGGTCGTCGATAATTATGCCGCGGCTATCGTTGCCGTTTGCAATTTGTATGTGAGCCTCGCCGAGAGAAACTACAATGTAACCGGGAAATCGATAAATCCTGCGGGGACACGACGCTTCGCTTCGAGTGCCAGCCGATGCGTTCTTTCCGCAGATATTAAGATATTAGCGGCGCTAATCTCGCCAATAAATTCCGCGGTGCCGTGCGGCGTGTCGGGAGATTATGCCGTTTTGCCTGGGGTCATAGCGATTCCGTTGGAAACGGGGATTTCAGGCTTTCGGATGAATCAGATTATCGGGTGATTTTTGGTGAAAGTGGAATTCTGATCGTTTCGGTTGGATTAGGCGGACGAGGAAATGGAGAGACGAGGAAATGGATTTTTGGCGATGCGCAGGGATGACGGAGATTTTAGAAGACGGTCTGAGGAATAGAAAATATTTTTGGTACTTAACATGATCAGAAATGTTTAGAAAATCTCGCATCCCTAGAAAAAAATTACAATGCTTTTATTTAAATCGTGGACAAAATGTCACGGAAAATGGTCAAGAACAAGCAATAGTTTTGACAACGTATGGAGACGAAACGTTTTGGACATTCGAGGACAGTCTAAAAAATAGGATTAGAAAAATTTAAGAAAATTATGCTAACTTCATACCACTTGACAAAAATTATAATACTTTTACCTAAATCGTGGACAAATAATTGTCGCGTGAAATGGTAAAAAAAGCCTGTATTTGCTAACGTATGAAACCCGAAACGTTTTAGACATTCTAGAGTCTGAAGAATAAAAACTGTTGAAAGTATTTATGCCTAACACGAACAGGGGAGCTAAAAAAAGAAAATGCAATCTTCGAAATCACTAGAAGATAAATGCTAGATGTGCACTGTAAAATATTGTCATTTCCCGTCCCGACGATTGCAAATGGGAAGTATACGGGGACGTCCAGAAGAGTCGTTTGCACGAGGTCAACCGTGCCAAGTTCAATTCGAAACTATATTCGCATTGGCCACGCACGCGTCGCCGGTAATCGAAAATTATTGCCTGCGATCAGCGAACCCGGACGCGATCGCTGTTGCGTCCTGTCAGTGACTCGCTTTGGCCACTCGTGGACCATTAAACTATCGTTTGTCAATCGGTGCGGCGGCCGTTTCGAAATAAAGCGGAATGCAAAGCGTGCATCGCCGCCGCGAGAATTCGTCGCAGCCGATGACAGCCGCGAAATCAACGAGGTATTCGGACCGTTTGATCGGTCGATTAATCACGCGGCTCGTATTGTCGATTGGAACACGGTTGTAACTTTGTTTCCCGAACGGATAATTTAGACCGCGATTTTATTCGCGACGGAAACGATCGGAGGAAACTGAAAACACCGTGTGGACCGTTCACCGTCAATTACAGAGGAATAAATCTGCATTTAATTCTCGTTCCGAGAAATCGAACGAGACGTTAATGTGCGTGGAAGCTGGAATTCTAATTACAACTCCTTCGATTTTGAATTATGCTGCCAACATTTCTGACTGACATCGACGCTGCGGTAATTCCTATTTTCCGATATGCCAACGTGCCAGCTGTAACCAAGTTTCTACAAATTACAACGGGGTCTGGATTTTCGATTCGGATCACTGGCACAGTTGTGCACGCAACTCCGGTTACGCTATTATGCTTGTTCGTCGAGAGGTCTCGGGTTTAGCTACGATCGTGCACATAGCTATTAGCTTTACTCATTCGCTTTCTAAAAATCCTAGTGACACGAAGTTCGCTCGGATCTATCGCACCCGTACGAGGGAGTGACGGGATCATTCGTTCAGACTTGAAAATTAATTTCTACACTGATCAACGTCTTGCTCTTATGTATAAAAACTAGTATGCATTCAAAAGCCTTCTAGACCGTTTACCAATCAATAATAATAATAGTAAATAGTAATAACAATAAATATATCTTCCTAATTTTATTAGAATCCGCAGAACGTGAGATCGTTGAAAATATAATTGCTGAAATACAACTCAATTTTTGTCGATTTGAATTTGATCAAGCATTAGAATTTGACGATGTATACGAAATTTTTGAGACAAGACGCGGCAGTCGGCCAAAAAGTCAAAGCTATTCAGTGGATTAAATCGAAACTACAAGGTTAAAATTGATCCTACTGGATGACGTTAGAATTCTTCAGCGTCCGAAACAACCCGGTCAAATTCCGTTTGTTCGAATACAGGGTGTCCCGAAGATGTCTCGCAATCCGGAAATGGGAGGTTCCTGAGGTCATTTGAAGCAACTTTTTCCTTTGCGAAAATTTTCTTCGAGGCTTCGTTTACGAGTTATTAACAAAAAAACATTGACCAATAAGAGGCGAGCTCGGCTGGCGCGCTACAGTCCAGCCAACGACTGCACGGAGCCTAGTTCCGCTCATTGGCTCGGCCGTCTCGCGCCAAATGATCTCGCCTCTGATTGGTCACGGTTTTTCGTTAATAACTCGTAAACGAAGCCGCGGATTGCATTTTTGCTAAGGAAAAAGTTGCTTCAAATGACGTCAGGAATCCCCTACTTTCGAATTGCGAGACATTTTTGGGACACCCTGTATATCACGATGAAAATGAGTTTTCAAAATTGCTCAAGAGTTTGTGTCACCCATATGCGACCGGCGCAGAACGCGTTAAACTGCTCGAATATGCGGCCGAAACGCTGAAGGGCGGTTCCGGTATCGCTTCCCTAATTAATCGTGTGATCCGCAAGGGCTGCCGGATTGCAGATACACAGATGGTACACGATTCTAATTGGCGTCGCGTGGCACGGAAGCGCGAGCAAGAACGCTTCGTCGGATATCGTTTCGGAAACGTCTGCTCCCCGTAGAATTATTCTCCTGGTTTAATCTGCGCCGGTGATCTGGCTATGCTAATCCCCGGCGTAGGCGTTACTCTCGCCACGGCTGCACTGACACGAGATCATATCGAGCCGCTCACAATACAGGCACGACCGTCAGGGATCCTGAAGTATGCGGCGAGCATGCTCGAGCATCCCGTATTCAAACGTATTCCGGAATCTATTAGAAGAGAAAGGGATTAGATCCGATCGTTCGTTGTTTTTCCAAACGGCCGGATTGATTTTCTTCGGCCGGCCACTTGTGCTCCCAACGGAACCCCGACTTTTGACTCGGCTCCGTCAGCCTCCCGTTCCTCGGCTCGATGCTAATCGGACCCCTCGATTTATTGCACTTTCAATTAGCGCTCGCCTCGCTTTCTACGATATTTCGTCCATTTTTGCGCGACTTCCGTCGACCTTATCGGCACGGCGCGGTGGCTTATCGTTCATTAATTGATATTCTAAACGGGAATTTTTTCACATTATCGATTTTCACACGCTTCGATGGTATACAAGAGTGACTCATTTGGGCAGAGTGGGGGATCTGTATGCAAATTCTTGTTTTCACGCGATATTTTGCAATAATCCGGATGAAAGAGAAACTTTCTTCGTCGAATGAACAATCGCTCATTGTGAGGAGGAAATAAAAGTGCTATCGGACTTTGTTGATTTGTTTTTTTTTGCATTTTAAGAATCTGTCACAACTGCATAAAGATCCGCGGTCTAGTTACGAGACTATGGATCTTCACGTGAAATGAAAATAATTGTAAGAAATATAAACTAGATGAAAATACATTCTCTCTTTTGACAATCGTAATTAGTTGAAAATGATGTAACAATATCCTCAACCCCTGGCCCCACCATTTTCTTTGCAAGTATAATGATTAGGGCTTTTTTCATCGCAATAATTCTACTAAAAATCTCCAGCACGAGTTTGACTCGTTAAAGTACGGCAAAGGATTAATTTTTTCGAACGTCTTTTTACTTTCCGATTTGACCTGTTCATTTTCGTCATAAATGCCCAAACTCCGCGGTCTAACTATGAAAACATCCGAATCTAAAGAGCGATGCGTATGCAGTCCTGTTCGCTGTGCAAATCGACAAGGAATTAACTCCTTCAGGCACAATAATTTCCATCAATACGATTTAATCTAGCGTCTATCTAAATAAACGTCCAATTCCCGGAACATTCTTGTTCTCATAATTCGGTCGGATAATCAAGATTCCACGTTACTCGTGATTTGATTTACGCGCGAGAATAGAGTCGGAAGAAGCGGCAGAGCTTCTATCGATTTCGTTCCAAAAGCTCTCGTCGAATCAAAGTGTCAAAAGTCAAGGGGTCCGGCGAGGTAACTAACAGGACCGGCAGAAACGTGCAGTTTTACAGCCCATTTCTCGTCCGAGGAAATCGCGGTGCCGCAGCGGCGATCAAGACCGTTTTATTGCGCTATCAATCATCCGTGCGATCGAAATGGGACAGCCTGTAGATAACTGGTATCCCCGCGAGGCGTTGGTAATTTCCTTTCCCCTATTTTGGCTCTTTGCATCGATCGGATTCTCGATTTTTCCCGCGGAAGATTGAGTGCCGTATCGAATGCCATTGGATCGAATCGAATCGAATCGGCTCGGATCGAATCGACTCGACCCGAACGAGTGTTTAAACACTCGACTCGCACGTGCGGCTGCGTGTCCCGTGTGGGACACGGGAGTTCGTAGACGGCTAGGCCGATCGGAATTGCGGCAATCAACGTGGCTACGCCGCAATCGTCGTCATTAATTTGCATATTAATAGGTCGCTCGCCGGCAGCGCCGTTACGCGTGATAGAGATCCGATGGAAAAACGAACTCGGCTATATCCTCGAAACGTGAAACCGATTGCGCAATCGGCGATCGTCCCCGGAGACGCCTCCAACAGCTGACCGAGGCGGTCAGGATTCGTAATAACCGCGGGACAACTCGGCCCGGGGAACCGTTCTTCCCGATCGAAATTGCTGTTTCCAGCGTGTTTCCGTTTTACGAGGCTGTAGGATCGTTTTTCCAGCGGTGCCTATAAACCAAGACCTCGATTTATGGAGCAGTCCAGTTAAGATTCGCGAACGCGGCGATATTGCGGTGCCGTGGCTGCAAATCTCTATGCTAATTCGCCGTTTTATCGATCGATTTGCGGAAATTAAAGTTCGCCCGAGAGCCTCGGCGAGGGAAATAATTGCTTTGTAGTTTATGGACCCACATCGCGAGTCGCATCGCCGCAAGCTTCGCCAAACGTCCGAAGCATTTCGGTCGGGTTTTATCAACGCTTGCAAAATCTTGTCGGACTTGCGAAGATTCTCCGGATGATCTGTTTAAATAATTTCGCTGTCGGCATCGTTTCGGTGATTACAATTAACCCTTAGGCTTCTATCTGGTTAATTAACACTAGATTCACGGGGCACAAAAATACAGCTGTTTTATATTAGTTTATAAAAGTAACGATAAAATATTTATTCTGATTTTTAACAAGCGTTATCGTAACATTTGCCGTAAATAACATATAAACTGAATAAATAACTTATAAATTTATGCGATATGAGTAATCGTAAATCAAAAAATTAGTGATCCGCCGTTTTGACGGGTTCTGCAAATCTAGTGTTAAAAACTCATCGACGAAGTAGTAAAGTGAAGCTTTCGATGCGATATGAAATGATAGAACGATGAAAATGATTGCACCGTTTAACATTGAACCTACCGCGACGATCGAAATGACCGGTTTCGCAATTTTTATTGCCAAATCGACGACGTTACGAAGACTCTTTCGTTGTGGAATGATCGAATAACTTTGTCAATTGAAGCCTACATTGTAATAAAAACAGCGGGAAATAATTTTTGCATACTTACGACACATATCAGTCACTGTAGTCTTCGATAAGTCCCGATAAAATTTAATAAACGAAAGATTATATCGGAACAGATTTTATGAAACGAAAAAAACTATCGGTAGTGAAAGTACAATAATTATCAGCAGTTTCGTTGTGTCCCCAGACTGCAAATTGCTAACGTAGACGCATGCGAGCTATAAATTTTCTCCTGTCACGAAAAAGCGCTAATCAATCTAGCTTCGAAAGGGAATCGTAGTGGAAAGGGCTAATTGCACGGGAGGCACACTTTTCCGAATGATCGATGATAAATGCGGTAAATGTTCCTAGACTCGATCTACGTGGAACAATTTCCGTTTATACGCTCTGTATTTCAGCAATTAATTTCTAGCTGAACGTGGCTAACGAGCGGCGCGGGGTAATTGCCGGACATTTTACGTCCGAGAAATAATTAGGCAGGAGGTGTGCCGGGGGTTGACGAGTGCAGGCTAAGCGGGACCACCGTGCTCGATATAATGACGATTAATAACAATATCGACGCGAGAGTGAGAGGGGGGAGAGAGCGGTTGGACGAGGTTCGCATTTGCATAAATCGACAGACGACCCAAGCAGCTCCTCTCGATCACGGGGCCTCACAGTGGACGATCTTACAGGGGATCTTGAGCCAAAATTAACAGTAGAACTAGCGAGCCCTAAACGCGATCGATGCGCATTGATTTATAGTTATGAATTTATTTAAACTTTGTACGATTTTTTTTAAATGTATGCTTGGATACAAAAATTTATCCAAAAATTTCTCATGGAAACGTTTTCTATAATATCAGGAATTGTAAAAGAAACAGAATAAAATAAGTCTTTTTGATGACTGGTTTGGTAGTTCCAGTGTTAATAATTTTTTAACTAAACTTCGTTTACAGTTTAAGACTCCCGACGCTTATAAAATTCACTCTGAAGTAAAATTTTTACAAGAAGGTTTTTCATAAAATCGTTCACACAAATTTACTTATCAATGATATGGCGACAAATTGCAGTCAAAAGATCGATGAAGAACTATTTTATTTAATAAAGAAATGAAGATCATTCGAACTTCTTTTAATAAAATTGTATTCCTTGGGATCTGCAAATTCGAGCGAAACTATTTCTAGAAATATTGTACAGAAAAATTGGAAAGATAGTTATATTGGTGCTTTTACGAAAAATCATCAAATTGATAACTAATCAACATGAAAAATATTTGCTCCTTCCGAAAAAGAGCACAGATTAAAATCCCAGCTATTACGCCAATGGCATATTATCGAAGAAGTTCATTGATTTCTAGCATCGACCTCCAAATATAAATTTCAACTTCGTGTGCTCCGAAGAAATATGGGCTGTTGCAAAAACAGCACATTCGGTCATTAAGATTTCAGGAAGACATTTCAGTTCTCGCGCTTCGAATTTGGAATCGCCTCGCGCGTATCGAGCACTGTGGGCCCCTTTGATCGACGGGAATCCGTGTAAAGAGTTCTTTCTTCGTAGCAACAACTTACTCTTGCCGTTCTTGTTGTACTGGTGCATGTTGCCTCTGGTTTCTTTGACGCTCTCTCGAGTGCCCAGAGCCTGCCACTTCTGGGCGCTGTGCGCTGACATCGGCGGGTAATCGTTTTTCCCTTGGTAGCCGTTGTATTGGGCCCCGGTCCCGCTGCTCTCGTACGCCCTGTGATCTCTGTAGTCGTAGTTCTGGGTCGACGTTGGCCTAGCCGTCGTTGTCGTCGTCGTGCTCGTGGTGGTCGTGCTGGTAGTGCTGCTAGTGCTGGTAGTCGCTGCAGCCGCGAACGTAGCAGGAGTCTCGTTCTCGTCCTCGTCCTCGGTATAGTCCTGCGACACACAAGAAATCGCGATGAGTTACATCGCTGAGTGCGATCTTTATTGCTAGTTAAATGTTACCGCGGGAAACTGGCCGCTTCGGTTGCCAGTTAACCCTTGCGTTGACCAGCGACCACAGCATCGACGTCCTGGTAGCTTCGAATTACAGATAATTCTCCCTAATTCACGCTCAAATTGTTCACAAAAATGGACAATTTGGGAAGAGCGGCTCGTTTTTATAGTTACCGATTGTCAACGACTATAAAAATGTATCGCGAGACTCGAATAGTCGTATCTCCTCTTTCCATATTGTCCATTTTTGTGTAGAATCTGAGCGGCAATTAGGGAGAATTTACGGTAATTGTCCAGGAGAATCACGAGCAAAATGTTTGGCAGAGGTGGCTAAATTTGTTAGTCGCATGATCTTTTAATTCTAGATGCGATCTCGATTATCCGAACCTCCGTGTTTCAGAATTTATTCTGACACCATGTAACTCGATTTATTGGGCACGTGAAGGATGGTGCATAGACTGCAGAATTTTATGCAAGATTAAAACTGTCTACGATAATTTTTTTAATTTTTCTGTTTCTTTAATGGTTCCAGTGAGACAAATGTAATGCATCGATACTCTTTAATCTCTTTTCTGTTTTAAATTAGAGTTAATCATTCTTGTCATAAATGCACAAAATGCATAAAATGTATAAATGTGTAGAATGCATAAAATCTGTAGTCCAATGATAAAGTTTTGCAGTTTCACATTATTAGACTTGATTTTATGCACTTGTGTCAAAAATGGGTAATTGGAATAAAATGAAAACATTAAAAAAAAAATAAAAACATCGTCACACTATTTTCAATTAATAGAAACTATTGAAACTATAGTGTATATATATATATATATATATATATATATATATATATATATATATATATATATATATATATATAGAGAGAGAGAGAGAGAGAGAGAGAGAGAGAAACTATAACTAGGTATATTTTTATTTAATTCTTGTATTTTGCAATTGACATCCTTTGACGCGGAAATCATCGGTATCAATCAACCTCGACCTTTACGAGAAAATTGTGTTACAAGAAATCGCGCAGAATGGTCTGATTATGATCTTTGTCGGAGTCGGTATAATTATATGCGCGACAAGACAAATTTCCAGTCCCAGCCATTCAGGAGATGATCAGTCTTAATCAACCCTAATCTTTGCAAGAAAATCGCGTTAGAAGAAATTACGGAGAATGTTCTGATTATGCTCTTTGTCGGAGTTAGCATGATTATCTGGCTAACGAGGCAAACTTCCCGACCTAGACATTCAGGAGATGATCAGTCTTAATTAACCTCGATCCTTATAAGAAAATCGCGTTACAAGAAATCGCGAGGGATTTGATTACGCTCGTGTTCATTTAGAAAATGATCAGTCTTAATCAAGCATGATCTTAGTAAGAAAATTCCGCGGGACAAAGGTTTCAATTACGTTGAAGCCTGTCGTGGGATAGATCGAGGACGAGAAAGGGTGGTCGATGGTAGCATAAATTTGCCCCTGTTTCCGTTGGTTTTTTTGGCGGCTCGTGGGTGGCCGGGACGATACCGAGGATCGTCGCGAGATTTCCTCGCCGAGATAAACGTTAATAAGCGAATTTGCATCTCACCGCGACGCACCTTCCGCCGACGATCTTCGCTCGGGCAGGGAGCGGGGATCTACTTAATGGCCGACTGCAACATCTGGACCCTTTGATCTCGAGCCGCTTAATAGAAACAATTCTCCGGATCAGTCTACGCGAGTACGCGAGTCGAATCCGAGAAGAATCACCGCGGGGTTCGGCCCGGTTAGGTTTGCTCGCGCTGCTCGTACTTCGCGCGGCTGCTAGCCTAATCGCAGATCGGCCGGAATTCGCTCTGCACAGTGATCCAGACGCTTCACGATCGTCCGGCGCACACGTACCCGTCAATCTTTTGCCGAAAAAAAGGTGCAGACGTCATCGTTGCGATTCGAAATTGTTCGAGATCTTTGTTTCTGCTTGGAAACAGTCGAATCATTCGACGATCCTTCGAGATACAGTCGAATACATTTTTTCTCATAAAAATAAAGTACATATAACTAATTAGTGTGATTTGTTTTACTGTGAGACTATTTCTAAATTCTTCGAGACTTGTTTTTCTACTTCCAAATATTTCTCGAAATTTTGTCTCGGCGACAAAAATGTTCGATTGCACTGTTCGCGCGCACTCAAACGTTCGCGTACGTAAAAGTGCAATACGATCATGAGCTTCAATGTTCTCGAGCAAATGCTTACCACGCTAAGCAGTTAACTAGTTCAAAACTAGTCCAGAGAGCTGTAAGTGTGCAGAAGAACAAGCTCGGTCGAAGAATTCAAATTGAGAGCTCGGATTTCGGAAGAATGCGACGCCGCAAGTCTCGCACCTTTCGCAGGGGCCCACGCTCGTAAACTATGAATAATGGGGGGTGTAGGTGTGTCGTATCAGCAAGCGAGATTCAGAGGAACCGGTGCTGCAGTCCGTTTTTAAATCCAGCCGGATGCTGACCCCGGGCTGACCCCGATTCCTTCGCGGGATCGTTAACGATAGTGCACCGCGTATCGTTCAAATTTATTGCCCGTCTAATCCGCTTTTTGCGATCCCAGATCAAAGGGAATGAATGGGTCCTCTTCCCGAGGCGTCCATACTTTATCGCCGCCACGAAAAAAACCGTCGTCTGAAATAGAAATCCGTTAGGCGATCTAGGATCGAACGATTTGAATAGAGTTGGTGTTCGCCGCATGTACGACGCGGCGGGATTGCAGACGCGACTCGCGCATAATTTGTAATTGAAACCTTCGGGGACGTGCTGTCCGGTCATCGACTGTTCCCCGCGAGTTATGCCGTGTAAAAAAGGTGCCTGGAATTCGTAAATAACACACGCGAGCCAATTATTTATTCATCAGAGTTGATTTTGTCGCTGTCTAAATTTTGTCCTGATCGATGACACACGAAGCTTCTCCGAAACATTTTTCAAACGCTGAAGAATTCTTCGCCTCTCGGTGTTTTTTAATGTATCTCAGCTTATTTTCAAGCTGCAAGTGTCTACTTTAATTCAGGGTACAAGATAATAAGAAAGAATAACGAAATCATTTTGGAAAATCGAAGAAAACCGACCATTGTCGTCAATGAAAATGGCTCGTTTTTAAAGGTAAACATAAAGTCGATTATAAATTATGTTCCCGTGGGACTTTTTTAAATCCAACTTAGCTCAAATTATAGCTGGATGTGTCTACTTTGAGACAGGATACAATAAAATAAGAAAGAACAACGAAATCATTTTGGAAAATCGAAGAAAACCGACCATTGTCGTCAATGAAAATGGCTCGTTTTTAAAGGTAAACATAAAGTCGATTATAAATTATGTTCCCGTGGGACTTTTTTAAATCCAACTTAGCTCAAATTATAGCTGGATGTGTCTACTTTGAGACAGGATACAATAAAATAAGAAAGAACAACGAAATCATTTTGGAAAATCGAAGAAAACCGACCATTGTCGTCAATGAAAATGGCTCGTTTTTAAAGGTAAACATAAAGTCGATTATAAATTATGTTCCCGTGGGACTTTTTTAAATCCAACTTAGCTCAAATTATAGCTGGATGTGTCTACTTTGAGATAAGATACAATAAAATAAGAAAGAACAACGAAATCATTCTGAAATATCCAAAAAACCTCACCACTGATGTCAAGAAAAACGGCTCTATTTTAAAGGGAAACTTCAACTCGATTTTCATGTCACACGCGGTCATATCTCGCGAATATGGTGCATGATCGATACCTTGGCTACGATTTTAGCCAAAAGTTCACATACCAAGATCGAGATATGCCACAGAGAATGGTACAAGATCCAAAAATCGTCTCAGAACAAATTTTGCTCATTTTTCCATTGTAGAAAGAATTTTTCCATTGTAAGATCGTGTGACATAAACAGCTGATCGTTACAACGGAGTACAATGCTGTCATACGGAAAATTGCAGAATCTGAATGATCGGAAATTTACGCAGATTCGAGAGCAAGTGGTTCGATAGCGACGGATCGGATCGCTCGGTTCGGATCGAGCTCGGTGATCGCTGTCCGTCCTTTCATCTTCGGTACGTGTGTATCGCGATTCTGCGCCGGCCGGGACGTTGTTATGTACAATGTACACGGACGGGTAAATACGGGGAATTATTGAGTCGACCCGCGATTAGATACCGGTCGCGGCACGAGAATAATTAAATTCAATAGTGGACGATAAACGGCAGCGGGAAAAACCGGCCGATGCTCGATTTCCACAGGGCACCGTAGTAGAGGGGCAAATCAATTTCGGAGAAGCGTCGCGACGCGACGTCTCGAGAAGGCTTTACGACTCTGTGCTCCGATGTGAAAGGTCAACCGGAGAGCACGGAACCTCGAGCAGTTGGAGCACGGAGCTCGTGAAAATTGGCGATAAAAAACGTCGCGGGGTCGTCGACACACTGCGCAAGCAGATTCTATTAACTGGTCCAACACGCTCAAGGATTTCACGGCAATAACGCAGATAACGACGCTTACCATTGTAAACTAGACCACACACGCGTCTCCCGGTCGAACGAAAGCCGTTTCTCATTCCTACGCGATGATTAATCTACTACGCTCACTGTCTAACAATACGAACACGGTTCGTCGCGTATATCGCTTATCCGATGATTTATCCCGTACGATTCCTGAAATTCTGACGACTGATTCACGCCGTGAATAATGCACGAGCGATCGTGATTCGAAAGAGTATTAATTGTATTTTTGAAATACTAATCTCTTTTAAGATTCAAAAAATGCGCTGAGAAGAAATCTCGGGATAGTTTGTCCGTAATGCGCGAGTACTCGAGCTCGGATCTGAGTATGCGCGTTAGAATAAAAATCGGTCTTTCGTATCTTGATTTTGTATGATTCTTCTAGAAAATTTCTGTTAAAGAATTTTTTTAATTGCTCCAATATTGTAGAAG